CGCCCCGCTCGGTACGGGTCACCCCGGCGATACCATTAACTCGCCTTATCGTTCAAAAAAAATAATTATGTGCCAATTACATTTAAATCTCCAAAAGGAGCTTTGCGCGGTGTCTTTCTGCCACCCGGAATGCGGATCAGTAAAAAAAAAAAAACAGAAAAAAAACAGAAAGGGGGACCCACCACCGCAAGCCCACCGCCGTCTCTTAAGGAGACGAGCGGCGCCCCATTATACAATTTTTTTTCCTTTCTGTTCTGTTTTTTCTTTTTTATTTCTTTATTACAACAGAAATTTACAATTCCAAGGGAGCCGCTCATCTGAGACGGCGGAGGGTCAGTGGCCCTCCTCACATATGGTCGTAAGACCGGAGGTACCTACAACCCTCCGCTATCCCATATGATTAGCCTTACAAAAGTAAAAAATTTTTACATTAAGAGAAGAGCTTTGCACCTTAGCTGTTCTTAACTGTCTTAACCTATGCGTAGTATTTATTGAACTGAAATTGAATCCTAACCTCCGTGGTGACGGGATGAAGAGACGAAAGAGCCCAGTAGAGATAATCTGTCTGTATTCAAAAGTGTTTGTAGTAAGTCCACAGGGGACTGAAAAGCGGGAAGATCTGTGCGTTGCCTATTAAAATTTAAGCAAGTGAGTATTCTATGAAAGGGATCGTCCCGGTCCAGACAATCTCTGCAACTTGGGTCATTAGCACGACCAATCCTATAAAGATAATTCTGAAATTGACCATGACCAGTCAGCACTTGTACTGTTTTTCTGTCCAGTATTACTGTCTTGTAGAGGATCTCAGCAATGTCGGGAATCCATCTGTAGGTAAGTCTGCCCTTGGTGGAGTTCGACCACTGTTCCTGCCAAATCCTATTAGTTTCCGCTCGAAGAAGACGTCCAAGAGAGTGCCTACCCATCTTAGGATGGGAGGGGATAATGATTTCGCCATGCGAAGAATCTTTAGCTAATGCGTGTCGTCTTTTAGCCACAAATTCAGTGAGGAGTAGATCCATTGGAGGAATCTTGGCCAGCACAGCAGCTGCTTCAGTAGAGGTAGTTGAGTACGCACCAATAATGGTTCTAGCTGCCAGCCCACGCACAGACTGGAGTTTATTATGAAATCTAGTTTGATTGAGTCTCGTATTAAAAAGAAACGAGCCGTAAGCAATAAGGGGTACAATAGCCCCAAAAAAGACTCTCACAAGAGAAGAGGAAGGAACTCTAAAGACATTCCTGGAAGCCTGACGAAGCCACTGAAAGGTAGTAATTGCTTTATTACATTGGTTCTGAATGTGAGGCAAGAAATTAAGCTTCTCGTCCAACCAGACGCCCAAGTATCTGTAGATAACAACTCTGGATATGCGTGCATCGCCCAAGCGGACAGTAGGATTTCTAGAGATCTTATTGAAGATCATGTATTTAGATTTAGTAATGGAAAATTGTATCTTGCAATTGGAGGCCCATGTGTAGCAGGTATGCAATGCCTGATTTAACTTGAGTTCTAAGTCCTGTCTAGCGTTAGCTGCAACAATTAAGGAGAGGTCATCAGCATATGCCGTTGTTGTGAGGAAGTTATGCTCGTCCAAGGCATCCAATAGATCGTCCAACGCCAGGTTCCATATTAACGGTCCCAATTTAGAGCCCTGAGGGCAGCCTTTTTCTATGAGGCTGGTGACAGTAGAGTTGCCAAAAGTTAGCTCAACAGAGCGATTGGAGAAGTAACTAACAAACATTTTGTATAGGTGCACAGGACAGTTTTTAGACTTAAGTCTAATGAGTACGGACGGCCACCATACATTATTAAAGGCACCTTGAATATCCAGGAACACCGCTGCTCTATACTTATCATGTGAACCATTTAGGGTGTTACATACCCGTTCCAAAGCACCTTCCGTAGAGCGATGTTTAACAAAGCCAAATTGCGCAGGATGATGTACTGGTGCATCAACTAGTTCATGAAAGCGCAAAAGTATGAAATGTTCAAGCGCTTTCCCAAGTATAGGAAGAAGCGTAATCGGACGAAGTGAATCAGTGCTGCCAGAAGACTCCTTGCCAGCTTTAGGAATAGTGATTAATTTCCCAATCTTCCAGCATATAGGAAAATAGCCGAATGTAAAACAATCGTTGAAAAGTCTGGATAAAAAACCCGCTAATGCGGGATATACTGTCTTAAGGACCATTCCTGGAACGCCATCTGGGCCCTCAGCCTTCCTTATGTTAATGCTGGCCAG